ATGATTCGCTGGAAATTTTCGCTAAATATTATTCGATAAACATCTAAATTGGTAATCTTCTAAACAGCCCTAAACTCTAGGCCCATGCAAATTTAGATTTTTCCATTTTTGGTCAATTTCAACCCCTAAAGATTTTGCGATCATCTCCCCCAACAATAGGTATCTATCCTGACCTTAGCCTCACCGCCATGTAAAATTTCGTGAGGATCAGTTCATAATTGCGACTTGCTTGATTACACATGGTTCAGTGGGATAGAGAGATCCAAATATAATATTGAATATGTAAGATCAATATTTCGAGGTGTTACACAATTTTTGGCCCAATCAAACTTATAATAACTTATAGTAGGGTATAAAACTTAACTTATGGTAGGGAATCAAAAAAAAAAAAAAACGGAGAGAATTGTTATTATTTTTGTGAAATATTTGGCATATTTTGTAAAGGATGAGAAGTAGTTGTCCAATATTTCAAATTCTCGCACGTCACTTTAGCCTGATATAAATATCAAAATGTGCTAAGTTTGGAATGTATCGGATTTCCCTCGAATTTATGGTTATCACTTATAACACTATATTTGTGAATTTGGAATCCTTATGGGGTCCAGTGCAGAATGATTGGAGCGATATTTCCCATTATCCCACCTGTTGTATCATTGGCAAAAGTATTGGGATGTGCTAAGATTCAAGAAAATTGGACACTGATTCCACATTTTACGAAAGTTTTCGGTATTCAATATGTTGAAGTTTTGTGGGAGGAAGGTCCAACATGCTTCATGTTCGCTACAAAACCCAAGTGTGCTACAAATATTACGGCAGACAAAATGTGGAGAGAATCGGGTATGCGGTTTTTACTTCTCGGAAAATTGTTTAAGTTCGAAGAATATCTTTTACTCTCTGGACTCTATATGAGATTTTTATGCCCTACAACACACTGTAGTACAGGATATTATTTCTTTGTGTATTTGTTTGTAACTCATAGATCCTTGATCTTCACAGAATCACATTCTGAGTTGATTTATGACTGCTCGTCGGTCCGTCTGTCAATGTAATTTAATTGTTTGGTTCAAGGACGAACCCTACTGAAATTGGTGGTAATCGATCCATTTAGATATAGCTCCCGTATATATCTTCGCCCGAATTCAATATTTTTTTGGCCATATGTGTACATTGTTCCAAATGGGATGAATTTCGGCACATTTAAGCTAGAATCAAACGCAAATGCGAAATTTGAAACAATTTCGGTGAATAATGTCGGTAAAATCATCAAAATCATACAAAATACAATTTTCTGTTATAGGCTGTAATATCCATTACGAACTTCAAATACCAAATTTGAAACATTTCTGGTGAATAATGTCGCTTAAATCATCAAAATATCGAATATCGGGAGGTACCGTTATATCGGGGCTATAGAAAGACCAGGTCCACGTCTGGTGTACGTCCACGTACACAAATTTCATTCTTTTTTTATGCTGATCAAGAATATATATACTTTGTGGGGTCAAAAATTTATATTTCGAAGTGTTACAAACAGAATGACAAACTTAATACACCCTCCATATTATGGTGGAGGAATTTTCTGTCATAGGCTGTAGTATCCATTACGAATTTCAAATATTAAATTTGAAACAGTCCCGGTTAATAATGTTGCTGAAATCATCAAAAATCGAACTATATACCGACTATACGAAAACATGGACCTGTAGTATCTACTACGAACTTCAAAGAAAAAATTTTAAACAATTTTTGGTGAATAATGTCGCTAAAATCATCAAAATACCGAATATCGGGAGGTGTTGTTATATGGTGGCTATACGAAGACGTGGACCTGCACAGAAAATTTCCTGTCTTATTCTGTAGTACCCATTACAAACTTCAAATACCAAATTTGAAACAATTTTCGGTAAATTTTTGGGAGGTGCCGTAATATAGAAGCTATACCAAAACGTGGACCTACATGGCCCATTTTCAATACGTATGGGTAAAAAAATACTATGTACACACTACGCAGTATTATCAATCAAAAAAGTGATATAATGATTGGCCATGCCAGAATTTGAGTTGCTCCTGCGAAAAAAAAAAATATTTCTGTTCTGCAAAAAAAAAAGGTAAAGCACCTTTACAATTTTTTATATCATGCAATTAGTCGTCATGACGCATAATTATTTCGTTCGCATGAACATGAAACCCTTTTTTGTTTAAATTTTTGGAGAAAATAAAAACTTTGTATATTTTTTGCTTTGTCAACGGTTATTATTATTACTAATTTATGCAAAATCACGATTTTTTTCCACAACCTTATTTTTCACAGTTTATTTTGGGAGATATTTAAAAGCGGAAAATATGAATGTTGACATAAGCTGCAAAGGGTTTACTTCGATGCAACCTCTAAAGTTTAGCTTCCTTCAATTTGCACACAATAAAGTTGATGAACCAACAACGCACAAAAGAAGCAACAATTTCGAGGGAAAAAAGAAATACAAAAACAGTTTTTAAACAATAACACAAACGCGTAGTATTTACTTAATTTTTCCTTCCTTATAAAATGTTTTTTTTTTTCTTATTTTTCCTTTCCTTTTTTGTTAATTTTATTCCTTGGGAAAACACTCATCTGTAAAATATGTAATTTTCATTGTTCTCAGCTGTGCACAGTGTGGAGGGTATGAGACTTTTCGGAGTGGTAAGAAACTACTTTTGCACAAAAAATGTAACCGTAGAATTTCCTCTTTAAAAGCTATATCGAAGGCCCGTACTTATTCCCAGGTGTGCGATTAGCTTGAGTTATATTCGTGTTATAATGATGCAAATAGTATTAAATTGAACATAAAAATGTACATCGCTTTAACTTATAATCATCAAAGTAAACTGAGGGTACGAAAACTTTATAATAGTAAAAAATACTCTAAACTTAGTATAATAATGATTATCGTTTTAATAAAACGAAATACATAAAAACCACTCAAAATTGTTTAAGTTCGGCTTGGCTAATATTTTCATACTTTCAACCATAGGGCTACAGAGGGTTTGACTAAATCGTGTCTCATCGAAATAACGGTTTTAGAGCCTGGTTATCTTTAGACGAAACCCGTTTCAAAATTTCATAATATTTGGATTTGAACTAGCTACGTCCGTTCGTCTATCTGAATTTGTCCAAACATATTACATCGTAATGTTGTTATCAAATTTAGATCGAGTTCGGAGTAGGGAAATATCGATCCAATTCCCACAACAGGTCACATTTTTTTAAAGTAAATAAGAGAGAGGCTCATCAGCTTTTGCTAAAACTTAATAAATCTTAATATTTGTATCAGTCCTAGGTCAGGTATGAAAATGGAAATATTTGACCACACCTTCTAGTACCTTTCTTCAAAGGGTTCAATTTTTGAATAATCATATTTGATTTAACATGTGAAATAAAAGTCCTAATTGTGAATTGTAAATTGCGTACATCCCAATATTTCTAACTACCGGATATCTGGTATGAAGATTGACTAGAACGCACAGTAGTGGTAATTCACCACAACGGGTCAAAATTTTTAAAATGTGCAAAGCTTAATATTTCTACCCTTATAAGATGTAGTGTGCAAATGGTATATAACGGACTACTTAGGGTTAATATTTTGAAAAAATGTAACTTTTAAAATTCGAATTTACGTTCGCATCAAAATTCTTACATTCCAATACTTGTAATAAGGAATACCAATTTTTAAAAATAATTCCTTTGAAAAATGTTGTTAAAATCATTAAAATACCAAACACCGTTATATGAAGGTTATATAAAAACCTGATACCATATAGATGATTTCATACAAGAGGTATGACACTTATTACGAAATTCAAATAAAAAATTCCAAACAATCACCCAAATACTCAATATCGTGGCTATACGATAACGTACATCTGCAACAACAAAATTCAATGTGTACTGTTCGACAAAATGCAATGTTTTCAATAATTACGGAGAAAATCCAACCGATTATGAAAGTACAGCTTCAAAAAGAAGACACGTGTATCGGCGTTCTGAATGTTTACATCGTTAAGAACTACATATACCATTTTTAAGACAAATCTTTGAAAAAATCAAAATACCGAATATAGGAAGGTACCATTATATGGAGGCTATACGAAAACGACATATATATACAAAGCTATGCCACCGGAACCATAACCCATTACGCACTACAAAATGCCAATTTGTGGACAAATCCGTGCCAAAATATGGGGAAAATCATCAAAATACAGAATTTCGGGAGGTAACGTTATATGGGGGCTATACCAAAATGTTATGTCTGCCAAATTTTGAAGCTCCACGTCAAATAATGTGGACTGTATTGTGATTTAAACAGACAAACGGACATCGCTAAATCGACTTAGAATTTTATGCTGATTATGAATATACAGGGTGAGATGAAAAAACTGCAACCAACTTCAGACTGCTGTCATTTCTAAGCCACTCATTCGACAGCTGTTAATATTATTCCATTGACAGCTCATTATATTATTTACAAGTGTACAAAAGCATTTTGGTGAGAATTTTCCAGAAAAAAAGTTATTCGTGATGGAATTCAAGCGTGATGGTGTGATTTCTTTATATTTGGCTAGATAACCACAAGTGGCACTCCAGCTTTTAAATGTGAATAAATCTTTTGTTTCTCGTACCATCGCTCGTTACCGTGATACTGGTAGCGTAGCCCGACGTAAAGGAATTGGACGGAAGAAAACAGCAACATGAGCAGAAATGGTTCACCCTGTATGTTATACCGTTTAGAACCGTATAGTACTTTTCGAACAGTTTAAAGAGACATTTCTAGCGCTCCTTCCTTATCTTAACCTCTTTTTATGCTCTTCCTCTGATTGATCGGTCAAGAACAATTTCGTTTTATTTTGTAACTCTTATAAAATTTCATGCCCCACATTAATCTAGCTCTCCATACCAATAATTATTCTGATGCAAAATTTCACCTGTCATTGATTGCTTAAGAACAATGTTGTAGAATTTCCTTCCTTTTTGTACTTTTTGTTCTCTTGAAATATGAATTTCCAAAAATTCAGACATTTTGCACACCTTGGCAGCAAAAGTTATCCTGGCTTAACATTTTAAACTAACTCTATCTCAGAGCAATGTTTATGTATCACTCGGAAAAATGGAACAAGGATGACTTCACCGAGCTCTCAATTTCTAGATGAACTAACTCCGATCAACGTTTTGCCAATTTATCTTTTGATTTATTGCCAAAGATGTTGCAAGGGCCAGGAACCCAACTTAGCTTCAAGGACAATTTAACTATTTCCAGAGCATTCCTGCACTGCAGAACTGCCGTCGATTTAATGATAAATGAATTTAGTAATTTTATGGCTGCTTGACAATCGGCAGTTGTTACTTTAAATGACTTCTGGATATTCACTTTCCATCTTCGATCCATCTGTTCTGGGTCTGGGTCTGTTCTGATCTGTCCTTGCTAGGTATATGGATGTCCAGTGATTCGGGATTTAGCCTAGAATTTTCCTCACCCCAAATGCCATAATTCTGCACCATCTACAACAAACAATAACAATTGTTAAAATGTCAAAGAATGACCCTTCGAATGACGCCTAATTTAAAAATTGCATACTCCACGAAAGGCAAAATTTTTAAACAATTTATTTTTCCAAAACTTCGTATATCTCAGTATGTTATACCAATCATATATTAAATCTAAATATGGTACCTTCTGGTACCTTCTCCACTAAATTTGAACATTTTGATTAACCGATTTGTTTTATCTTTGCACATCCAAATACTGTTACCCATATTGAGTAACACAACACAGAATATATTGAAATTATTTCTGATGCATTTATCGACAAAACCGAGACTTAAACTTGATTTTAATATCCTTTGCTACGAGCTTCCAAAAAAGCCCTACCATTCACCTACACCTTACAAGAATATGTGTGAAGTTTCCAAATTTTAACTCTATCCGTTGCTTCTGCATCTTGGTGAGGCAATCAATCTCTGATTTTGTTAAATAAAATTTTATACCGTGTGAAAGATTGAAAATATCGTAAGCTAAATAGGATATACCAAAATTGAGATCTATACCGAAAGATCCTTCAAAGGATGGTTTCTACCATTTGGGAATAAAAATGCCAATTCAAATTAAAAAAAAAGAAAATTATATACATATATATTGTATATATATATATATATATATATATATATATATATATATATATATATATATATATATATATATATATATATATATATATATATATATATATATATACATATATACATATATATACATATATATATATATATATATATATATAAATGGGACTTTTAAAAACAGTTCTTTGCAAAAGTTGATTTTACCATTAAAAGTTCAGCTTGGCCGCACTTAACGCCTTGTAAACCTGTTCAGAAAATTTATTTTTAATTCTACTGAACACAAATTGTAGCACTGTGCAGTGACAGTGAATCTTGATGCCTGCGAGTTTAAAGCATGAAAAGTAATTACGCTTTTTTTTTTGTGCTTTTCTCTCGTTTGCTTCTGTGGGATTAAAAAAGATTAATGTTAAAGAATCAAACTGCAAAGAAAGCGTACAATTCATTCATTTCTTCCAGTAACTCACAAAAACGAAATGTACTCGTATTTGTGTTTGTGCGCCCCCTCCATACCCTTGGTGTTTTAACTGAAACACAATCTTAATATAAATAACAATAATAATAATTTTATTTTCGCAAGTAGTTACTATAGTAAATAAAGTTCATTCTATGATTCAATGTTGAAGAACAAACATTTGCTTCTCTCGTTAAGCATGACTTTGGGTTTTGAGAATAAAGGCGAACGTTTTTGGGGACAACAACAATTTACTACTCTGTTGAATTCATAATTGTATAATATTTATATATTGTTGCCATTGTAGCAGTTGATGCTGCTGCTGCTGATGTCGTAATTGTTGTTGTTGTTGACGTTTTGACGACTCAGGAACATGAAAGACAAACATCTGATTTAGGGATTATTATTTGAAGAGTAGAAGGGGAGAGAATGCGAGAGAGAGAGAGAGTATGACATGCCAACAACAACTTAGTAGGGTATTGTTATTGTAGGAGATTATCTCTTGACTATAAGTGGATTAAAAGAAAGCATATTTTCATTTTTACTCGGAATTGTAATAAAAATCCTGAAACAAAACTTGAGTAGTTTGAACTTCAAAGTTTCAAGAATTCCTATTTTTATGAAAATATAGTAATAGAAAAATGCAATATACTAAATGTACCCAAAAAAATGTTCTTCCGAAATATCACAGGATACAAGTACATTCCAATAATATTCATGATGTTTAAGTATTTATAATAAGTGTTTAATAAGCAACTTATGCATTATATTGGTGGTGGTAAAATACTCCACAGAGACCCTGCAAATCATACAATTATTCCAGACACGCGTGTCCATCCAAAAATAACCCATATAAGGCCGTTTTGCATTTTATTAATAAACATTTTTAAAATTCATAATATTATGGTACATCTTAGGAGTTTGCCTGCAAAAATCAAAGAACATTGTCATTGATGACATTGTCCATAGTTGCATTACATAACACAATGGATTACGCGCATGTAGGGCATTTTGAAAATTCCTACTTATGTGTACTAAACGGTACTACATTTGGTATAAATTCTTGAAAATCTTGAAATTTGGAATTAAGATTACTGTTGGAGTATGGTATAGGGTAGGAACTTTTGGAAATGTGTATTAAATGGTACTGTATTTGGTTCAATATAATATTAGGTGAAAAGATAGTTCTTTAAATCTGAAATTTGGTGTTAGGGTCGCTGTTCATGTGGAGGCTAGAAATATGGAGAGGGTTAAGGAAATGTGTCTGTAATTGTACGAATAGTGCGAATTGTACTATATTTGATATTGGGTGAAGGGATAGAGATACAGTTCTGAAATTTGATATTAATCTTGATGTTGGTGTCTGTGTTAGAGATATGGCGGTGGTTTGGAAATGCATCCTATATTTGTACGAGTACGAGGGTAAACAAATAGTTCTTTAAATCCGAAATTTGGCATTAGAGTCGCTGTTCACATGGAGCCTAGGCATATGAAGATGGTTTCGGAAATGTGTACTACAATTGTACGAAATATTGTTATTGGGTGAAGGAGGAGCTGAAATTTTGAAAATTTATATAGATATCACACTTGGTGTCTGTGATTAAGATATGGATGTGGTTTTGGAAATGTGTGCATTAATTGTACGAAATTCTAAATAGTACAACATCTATTATTAGGTGTAGAGATAGAGCTGAAAATTGATATTACTGTCGGTATCTGTAATTGAGAAGGTTTCGGAAATGTGTCCTAAAATTTAACGTAAATACTAATTCACAACTATTGGAATTGAGTGAATGTATAGAGCTGGAATCCCGAAATTCTATATTGAGGTATCTGATGATATCTGATGGTTATTTTGCAAATGTGCACTGTAGTTGCTCGAAAAGTACTAAATAGTACTAATTTAGCATCACTGTTGTTGTCTAGAATGGAGAGGTGTACATTGTTTTGGATTTACGTACTCAATGTTAGTAAATTTGGTAGAATGAAGGGATAGAGTTGAAATTCTGAAAATTGATATTGAGGTCACTTTTGGCTTCTAGGTTTTACATATGGAGACATTGAATTATCGGTCGGTTTTGCCGACAGATGTATACCCTCATCCCTATTCACCCTCTATGGAGTGGGTTTTGAAAGAATCGTTCAATATTGTCCATTTCGTATCCCACCTAAATAAATATGATATAAATATTATTATGTATAAAACTAAAAAAAATAAATTATAGTAGATGGATATAGCAATGGTAAAGAATCGCTGAGTAGCTTCGTAATTTATGATAGATGAAAATATTGAAAATTGTGTCCCTTTGTGTATGAGGTGCCAGATTGTGTTCGAAGATATATAGCATCTTCACAACAGATCTGGTGTTAGCAAAAAATATTGTATGTGTGAAATTTGAAGAGAGTTGGATCCTTATTTCGCTTTCTTTGAGTGCTAAGTTTTTCAAAATTAGATTATTGCTTTCCTTTCTGTGCAGAAAATATATATTTTAAAAACTTCGACCATTTGTGGGGGAGGTACCAGAAGAAGTGGACCGATATACTCCATTTTAACACCAGACCTTGACTAATAAAATGATTGGGATGGGTGAAATTTGAAGACAATCGAACTCTTAAATCACATTTTATGAGAGTTGTAATTATTCAAAATTTTGACCATTTGTGGGGGAGGTACTTGAAGGAGTGAACCGATATTGTCCATTTTCGGACCAGACCTAGCACTGATGCAAATATTAGGATTTGCAAAGTTGGACCAAAATCGGATCATCGTTTCTCTTTCTGTGCAAAAAATATATGATTTGCAAATTTCGACTTTTTGTAGGGAGGTACCAGAAGGAGTGGACCGATATTGTCCATTTTTACATCTAACGTTAAACTGATGCAAATATTAGGATTTTCAAAGTTGGAGCAAAATAGGATTATCCCTTCTCTTTCTGTGCAAAAAATATGTTTTTTGCAAATTTCGACCTTTTGTGGGGGAGGTACCAGAAGGAGTGGACCGATATTGCTCATCTTAACACCAGATGTTGGGTTAATATAAATATTGGGATGTGTAAAATTTGAAGATAATCGAACTCTTAAATCACATTTTATGAGAGTTGTAATTATTCAAAATTTTGTCCATTTGTGGGGGAGGTACTTTATGGAGTGGACCGATATTGTCCATTTTCACACCTGACCTAGCACTGATGCAAATATTAGGATTTGCAAAATTTGGAGCAAAAATCGGATTTTTCCTTCTCTTTCTGTGCAAAGAATAAATTTTTTGCAAATTTCGACCTTTTGTGGGGGAGGTACTAGAAGGAGTGGACCGATATTGCCCATCTTCGAGTTCTAAGTTTGACAAAAATATTACGATGTACCAAGTTTGGACCAAATCGGATACTCCCTTCGAGAGTTATCGTGCGCACCAGCCAGCCAGACAGACAGACGGACGGACATCGCTAGATCGACTCCAAATGTGCTGAAACGGATTTGGTCCTAAGAGACCTAGGGTCTAAAACCGTTATTTCGACTAGGCACGTTTCGACCGTATCAAATGATATATACCCTCTGTAGCCATATGGCTGAGGGTATAAAAATGGATGTGAGCTCAACTTTAGCCCACCAAGCACAACTTTAACCCTAAAATATGTTTTAAATATATATGAATTCCTGGTGTTTAGGTAAGATTTAGACTAATGATGTCTTCCATGACTTATAGTAGAACTCAATGTTGCGAAAACACGGTATACCTAAAATGCACGGATTCCGAGAAATCTTTATGCGAACATTTTCAAAAGTGCGGAAAAGGGGGAACTGGTCCATTTTATATTGGTTATACTTGGATGTCAACTTTCAAAACACGGATACACGTGTCTTTTAGCTTTACTTTCATAATCTAATGGATTTTCCCCATAATTATTGAAGAAAATTAATCTTGTAGCTCAGT